GAGGGGGGACGTGACGTTATGCGAATCCCCACACTAAGGCCGTACGTGAAACGACCTCCCTTTGGGGCACGAGTCGTGTGTTGGGTGTGCCGAGATGGGCGGAGCGACGCCGTGTGAATTTTGTCCCTGGACCCGAAAGAGGAGCTCCCAGGGGGACGAGATCCGTGTGAGTGCCGTGCCGAAATTGAGGGGGGGGGGGCGCCATGTGAACCCCGCCTTCATCTGGGGCCGTAGGTCTCGCTTCCATCCGCATGATCGGTACTTTTTTTACCTCGAGCTCAAGCCAGTTGTGGGTCACTGCTTCAGTGGAGCTATGACCTTCGCAAGGGATGGGGCTGTTGAGAACGCCCTTCTTGGGGCTCATTGTGGGCCTCTGCGTTTTTTTGTCGCGCTGAGGAGGCACTTCCTTGGACCCTCTCTTTCTGTCGTTATCTTCGGGCTTTCTTGGGGCGCCTCTTGGAGCCCTCCTGTGCTTCGTTCCGGAGCCTGCTTGGAGCTCTTTCGGGGCCTCGCTTGGGCCCCCCTCAGCCTCTCTCGGAGAACCAGGGGGGCTCGTCCCTGGGATCTCTGAGTTCCGTGACGCCTCGGACTCTCTCGGTCTTTTGTCTTATCGTGCATTGTATTGCATTGCATTCCACTGGGCTGCTTTCCGTTGCATGTGCAATTGCATTGTTTCGTGATCCACATTGCACTTATGAGCATCGCTTTCCTTTGCTTTGCATTGCATTCATAGCCTTGCATGTGTTTGGCTAAACTGGCTTGCATAGCTTCGAATTGAATACTGGAGAGGCCTTACTGCCGGTGCCGCCGACCCTGAACGACGACGGCGGCGGCGCGCGACGCGACGACGACGACGACGACGACCAAGGGGGGTCGCTCCCCCCTGTGGAGGGGGGGACTGGCCCGTGGGGGGGGGCTCCCTCCTGTGGACAGGGGGAGCATGGAACGCTTGGAAGGGGGAGCAAAGCGGGGACGCTGGGGGGAAGGGAGGAGAGGCTCTCTCCCCCCGGTTCTTGGGGGGGTCCCGGGGACCCTCCGCCACATATTCGGGATCGGCAAAACAATAACGGGAGCCCCACGGCCCCCAGGGCACCCCCCGGGACCACCCCCCGGGACCACCCCCCAGGACCACCCCCCGAGACCACCCGGCGGGACCACCCCCCGGGAGTTGCCCCGGGACACCCCCCCCGCTGCGGAAGGGATCAAGGGAAGGTGCTTCCCTTCGTTGTTCGATTCGATTTCGTATTGGCTGGATCGGTTGAGGAAGAGGGCCCGGGGAAAGGGGGAAGATGACGAGGGCGACGACGACAACGACGACGGCGACGTCGACGACGACACCGACGACGACAAACGGAAGAGCGCCTCACACACGCCGACAGGGTCGGCGGATTAAGGAGCATATGTCATTGTCGGTGCTTGGGTTCTGTTCGGCCAGCATTATGGATGTTTCTTGTACCTCATGCTTACACCATCAATGGGTAATCACTTCGGTGGATACGGGACCTCCTCAAGGGATGGGGTCGACTAGAACCTAAGCGCGTGCGAAGCGCGCGCGTGGTTCTAGTGTGTGTGTGTATATATATATATATGTATCGATCCCACGGGCCAACCATCGGGAAACCACTGGGACACCATTGGGACACCATCGGAACACCATTGCGACATCATCGGGATACAATCGAAACACTATCGGGACACCATCGGGACACCACTGAGACACCATCCAGACACCATCCAGACATCATCCGGACAGCATCCGGACACCATTGGGACACCATCGGGACACCATCGGGACGCCATCTGGACACCCCGGGCCACCGCCGGCCAACCGGGGGGAGGGCACAACATCTTTTGGCCCAGTTTCGCCCCAGCAAGGGCGGGTTCATTCTTTTCCCTAGCACACGCAGCTGCGCCTCGTCCGAACGCACGCCACGAACACGAAACCGAAACCGATTTTCCTGCGGGGGGTCTCCGTTTCACTTTGATCTGACCCCCAAACTTCCGATCATAGTTCCGTAGTGGTGAGGCAAGCACGGGTGTCTGTCTGTGTGTTTCGTCTCGTGCATGCATCACTTGCTGTTGGTTCAACGCCGCGGGAGAGAAACAGATAAGGTGTGTGTGTGTGTGCGCGTAAGCATGCGCGCCCTTGCGTGTTTCTGGAAGTGACTGCCACCATCTAGATCATCCATCTGTTACGCCACATTGAGATTCGCTTGAGCGTGTCCTGGCTTTGCGTTTCGCGGCGGTGCCGACACCTCGCCGCTGGAGGAAAAAGTGTGCCAGGGCTACTGGCGTTCGTGGTTTTATCCTCCCCCGCCTCCTCTTCCTCCTCATCCCGCTCCAGATCCTGATCCCGATCCTCCTCCTTCCCAGTGTCAGGGGCGCCCCGAGTGCCGAAGATGGTCACCAGAGACGCCGTGGCCTTGCATGCGTATCAATCTGGAGAGCCCTCGTAAGTGCACTGACGTGGACCAGCACGTTAAGCGCCTTACCCGTTTCCTCTTCCTCCTCCTCTTCTTTCTTCCATCTCCTCCTCCTCCTCCTCCTCCTCCTCCTCCTCCTCCTCCTCCTCCTCCTCCTCCTCCTCCTCCATGGGTCGGCCAGTCGGTGATCGAGGGCCCGCCCCTGGCTGGCGGACCGCTGGGGGGGAGGGGGGGGGGCAGTCGGGTGTTGTCAAGGTGTCTCTGGCCCAAGGCATCCCCAGGATTCCCTGGGAGTCATCCAAAACACCCCCACACAACCTTGAGATCAGGGCGTCGCATTGTTGTTCGGACTAAGCGTTTTAGCCCAGTTCGAGGCCTGAGGGTCATCACAGATCGATGCGGCTCGAAAAGTGGCGCAGGAACATGGGAGTTCGGGTTCCAGCCGTGATTTCTCGCGTTGTTGCATTGTTCTCGCAACCTCGGATTTCAGAGGGGGGCCCAGATGCCTCCAAAGTGGCGCGAAAAGCTGGGGGCCGGGAGCGCGATTGGCAACCCCCGACCTCCGAGTGCGCTTTGGGTCGCCCCTTTTCGGGCGGGGCGCGTGGGAGGCCAAACCCAAGCACTCACGTCGTCATTGTCGCACCGCGCGCAGCAGTCGGCAAGCCGCGCGCCGGAAGTCACTTCTGCTGGGCCTGGTGGCTTTCGGTCTATCACTCGGGCGCCCAGCGGCCATTCGGGACGGTTCTGGCACCCCCAAAATGCATCGGGCGAGGCGCAGTTGCTGCAGAGCGTCTCGAGGCGAGAAACCTTCGAGGACGATCGAAACTTCTCGACCAATTGTCCAGGGGTGCTCTTGCCGAGGGCCACTGCTGCGCGCAGCCGACAGGTGCACAACGAGGAGGTCAACCACCTGCAGGCGCAGCTCCAGCAGCTGCGCCGGTGTGCGGAGCGGTCGCTGGAGGATCAGGGGCATCGACAGGGGGAGACTGCCCCCACAGGGGGGGGCATCGACCCATAATTGCCCATTCCCCGCCAATCGGGACATGGATGCCCCGGCCCGCCATCCACGATTCTCGGCGATGCATCACCGATTCGAAGTCTGGTATCCCTCGCTGGAGCCAGTCCCCCACCCTATCTTTTTTCCTCGCCTGTCGGGAGGCCCTTCTGGGGCTCAACAGCGAATCTGTGCAAATCCCCACTTCCTCTTCCCTTCGTCCCTTCCTCCCTGTCTCCCTCCTCGTTCCTTTCTCCGCGCCCCATCCTCATTCCTCATCGTTCCTTCCTTCCCGATGCGGACATTGGAGCTTCGTCGAAGCGCTGCTTTCCACCCAGCCCCCAGCGGCCCTCGCCGCGGGAGGGAGGGGATGAAAGATAAGCCACGTAATTAGTTACAAATGACGATTCGTATTGGAAGTGAGGTGGACGGGGGGAGTCCCATTCTTTTCTCCTCATCCCCCTCCTTCCCCTCCTACTCCCCCTCCTCCTCCCCCTCCTCCCCTCGCTCGCTCGCGCGCTCGCTCCGTGGGGCTGAAAAGATTGAGCCCATGTGAAAAGATTAGAGGTAAAAGTTAACCGAGCCCCACCCCCCGAAGGCACACCCGACCCCCCGACGTGCAAAGCAGGTCCTCACGACGAAGGGGGCCAAGGTGGATGTCCCGCAGAAGCTCTTGGCCAGTGGGCTTCCCACCCGACTTCAGTGAGCCATCCCAAGTCAGCAACGAGTCGCGGATGCACGAAGAAAGAAGAGACTCCCTCACCAACAACACCATCCAATGTCCCGAAGGGACCCGCAGAACGATATTCCCCAGGGCGGTTGAAGCACTCAGCGGCAGAATCAGGTCAGTGGCGATGTAGCCCCGCATGCGGAGCCTGTGCCCAGAGGCGCCAATACCTCGCCATGCTGCGGTCCTCCCCGAGGACCCCCCACCGCAGGTCGGGGGGTGAGGGTTGGGGCATGGTCTCCCCCTCCTCCTCCTCCTCCTCCTCCTCCTCCTCCTCCTCCTCCTCCTCCTCCTCCTCCTCCTCCTCCTCCTCCCCTTTCATTCTGCCGTCGTTGTGGTGCGCGGGCCCAGCTGTCGGCCCCTCGGTCCCGCCTGTGGGGCGACTGTCAGGGTATTGCATCCAGCAAGGACGCCATGTATTTGAAGGACCTCGAGGCTGGTAATGATCCAATCTCGGGGGAGCGGAGGGGCGAGCCTCGCCCCCTCCAGGTTTCTGATGATGCCTGCTTCTGGCTTCGTCTGCGGTAATTCGCTTGGCTTTTATGTCCGTGTTTTCCTCCCGGTTCATCGTCGAGTCGCGCGTGTTCGTCTTTTCCTTTCGTCTCGCCTTTCCTAATCTAGTCTGGGCGCGCTCGGATTCGATTTGGTGGTGCCTCCTCCTCCTCCTCCTCCTCCTCCTCCTCCACCTCCTCCTCCTCCCCCTCCTCCTCCTCCTCCGCCTCCTCCTCCCTCCTCCTCCTCCTCCTCCTCCTCCCCCTCCTCCTCCTCCTCCTCCTCCTCCTCCTCCTCCTCCTCCTCCTTCTCATCCTCCTCCTGCTTCTCTGCCCCCCTCCCCCCCCACGACTCCCCCTCAGAGGAGCTCCGCCCTGGCTGGGGGCCGCCCCGCTCCGAGCCCTCGAGCGCGCCGGGGGCGGTACCCAAGAGCAGGCCGCCCCCCAGCAAGGCCGCACCGGCGTCGCAGGCTCCCGGCGGGCAGAAGCGGAGAGCATGAGAAGGAGGAGGAACGAGGAGGGAGGAGGAGGAGGAGGAGGAGGAGGAGGAGGAGGAGGAGGCGGAGAAGGAGGAGGAGGGAGCGAGGGGGGAGGAGGAAGGAGTTACGAGAAGGATGATGCTGATGCTGATGCTGATGCTGATGCTGCTGCTGCTGATGATGATGATGATGAGGAGGATGAGGATGAGGATGAGGATGAGGATGAGGATGAGGATGATGATGATGATGATGATGATGCTGATGATGATGATGATGATGATGATGATGATGATGATGATGATGATGATGATGATGATGATGATGATGATGAGGATGCTGATGCTGATGCTGATGCTGATGCTGATGCTGATGATGATGCTGATGATGATGATGATGATGGTGCTGATGGTGCTGATGGTGATGATGATGATGCTGCTGATGATGATGGTGGTGATGATGATGGTGCTGATGATGGTGATGATGCTGATGATGCTGCTGATGATGATAGTGATGATGATGCTGCTGATGATGATGCTGATGCTGAGGAGGAAGAGGAGGAGGAGGAGGAGGAGGAGGAGGAGGATACTGAGGATGATGATACTGGTGAGGATGATGTGGATGAGGATGAGGATGAGGAGGGATGAGGAGGATGAGGATGAGTATGATGATGAGGAGGAGGAGGAGGAGGAGGAGGAGGAGGAGGAGGAGGAGGAGGAATGAGGAGGAGGAACGAGGAGGAGGGAGGAGGAGGACGCAATGCAGGAAGGGGAAGAGGGGGCGAGATGGAGGAGGAGGAGGAGGAGGAGGAGGAGGAGGAGGAGGGAGCAAAGGGAGGAACAAGGGGGGGAGGAAGAGAAGGAGGAGGAAGAGGAGGCGGAGGAGGAGTAGGAGGAGAAGGAGGACGGGGGAAGAGGAGGAGTTGGAGGAGGAGGAGGAGGAGGAGGAGGAGGAGGAGGAGGAGGAAGGGGGGTAGGAGGGGGGCGGGATGTGATTCCGCTAGGCTGTGATAGCAGGGTTAGCCCTCGGGCCGTGAAAGCATTCCGTGATGTGCGCACTCCGCCCGTGGGCTAATTGGCCAGCGCGACAGGGATGCGGACTGGCCGTCTCCCCCGGAAATCCAAACCTCCGTCCCTATACGGCGAGCTTTGTCCTGCCGCGCGCGTGCCGCACCCGTGTCCGCGCAGCCAGGCCTACCCAGCGGCACTTTCAAGCCTGCTCGACCACGTCCAGCGTGTCACCTAGCGCCCAGCTGCTAAAGCCCACCCGCCCCTGCCCACAGCACGCCTCCTGTAGCCCCTGCAGCGGGGCGCACGCATCGAACAAATGGCCCAAGCGCACCCCTGAGACAGCCGATGCCCTCAGCGCGGCATACTAGGCACGTCTGCGCTTCATAACGGCCGTGTTCCTCTCATCACACCTCCGTCGGCACCCGCCCAGTGATCCTCGCCAGAGACAAAGCCCGAAAGCAGCGAAACAAGCTGGCGCCCCAAGGCGCCCTGTGCAGGCCTGGGGCCAGCGGCGTCCGCAGAGGGAGGGGGTGAGTGTACGGGATCAGCCCCTCGTCATTGAGGGCAGCGAGTTGAAGCAAAAACCATGCTTGTTCCCGGGCCCACACCGCGGGCACCAGGGCCGCCCGCGTGCTTCCACTGCCGCACCGCCCGCTGACGAGCAGCTGGGCAGGCGCGCGCAGCCTCGCCCAGGCTATCTGCGCAGAAGTCCACCCGCACACGGAGATGCGTCACCATTTCCGCCGCGTGCTGCTCCGTCCAGGTGGTCCCCGTCACCGCCCGGGAGCCCAGTACGGCTGCAGCTGCCGGGCTCGAATGGGCGGCGCTAGCAGGCGCGCGAGCCAGGGCAATCCACTGCAGCAGCTTCGCTCCCCAGCGCGTGAGCATATGCACGTTTCGGCCAGCGCCCGCGCGTGGCCCCTCCTCTGGAAGGCCGTGCCTTTGCTAACTCCCAAGGGCACTTTGGTTACGTCCGGCCCGTAGCTGGGCAGCAGCTCCGAGCCAAAACACATAACCGCCTCGACTTGGTTTGGAACTTGCGCAGCTTGATATTATGACAGCCCAAACTAGCGTTGTTCCAACGACGCTACCATCCTCTGCACGCCGTCACAGAGCCGCGCGCACACCTTCGCAAGCAAATCGCGAAATGCGAGGCCAGCGTCCACCATCACCCCCAGTATGTCCAGCGAGTCCGTCGTTGCCAGGGTTTCGTTGGCAAGCGAGCCGAATGCGGCGCCGCCAGCGCCACAAACTGCCCCCACCGCCATCTCTACTGGCTTCTTTCGCCCTCCTTGGAAGCGATGTCGCCAGCGCGCGCAAAACTGCGACAGGCCCCTGTCTGCAGCCGCCAGCCCCGCGGGGGATGATTGGAACACGAAGGAGTCACCCACGACCCAGACCATCGGCAACGCGTGGTGTGCCAAGGCGTCGAGAAATCCATTCTTGTCAGCCAGTGCGCAGTGCCGCCGCACACGCACTCCAAACCGGGTTGTTGGTAAAGGAGGCCGCTGCTGTCGCTACCTGGATCGACGCGCGGTGCACTACCTCGCCGGGGCTGGCCGCTGCGCCCGCACCCGCATGCGGCACCCGCTGGGATGTCAATGCCCACTCCGTCAGCTTGCTCAGCGCACGCGTCCAGGAGCGAGCGAACGAGCGCACCAAACACTTGCACCCTGGCACGTTTCCTCTGCCCCACACCGAAGCCAGCGAGCTGAGCCGCAGGGCCGGCAACCCCCTGCCGTGCTGGCAACCAACAGGAGGCGCCCGCGGACGCCGACCCACCAGAGGTGGAGCCGCACCGCGTCACGCCAGGCTAAGTCGTACTTGTGCATTCGGTCGGCCTTTTGTACTCACGTCGCGACGCCTGCCTCGCGCCTGATCTGGAGGGCGATGACCATTCCAATAATCATGAACACTGCGTCATACTTGCCCCCGACCTGCGGCGATCCCGAAAACGCCTTCAGTCGGGCAGCCAAGGGCCGCCTCCAGCCACAAAGCGTCGAAGACGCCGCACATGTCGTCCACGGAACTCACTGGGCGAAGGTTGCACACTTCCGCCACCGTCTGCGGGCTGCGCTTAAGTATCGGGGCCATCTCACGCATCCACGCCGTCGGGACCAGTCCCACCACTGCCACCATGCAGACGATGGCCCACGTAGTCAACAGCCCCCCACGCACACGCGAGCGGCACGCAGCACGGGGGAAGGCAATGACCGGCGATTGCCGCTGATTGGCTGGAGGGTCGTGTCAACGGTGTCGGTCACAAAAGGGTCGCCTGAAGGCACCGCCGCGGTCTCCATTTGTGCTTAGCGGCGCGCCTCCGCCACCTGTCGGCGGACGGATTGCGTGAAGGTCGGATCGCCTGGCCCTGCCGCCGCGCCACACTCCAGCACCGCATTCCCTGATGACATCGATCGCATCGGCCACCCCGAACAGTTCACCCGAGGCTGGACTCCAGAACGCCAACAACAGAGGTAAACGCGGGAACAGGGCGCTACTTAAAAAGAGTTCAGCCTCACATGGCCAATTCTGCGCCAGCTCAATATACCGATCTACGCACCTGGAACGCTCCGTCTCTGGCAGGTCCACTGCCGAGAGACCCAGCGTGGATAGCAGTTCGTCCGGCCACTCGCCCACACACAACCCCGTCGCCACGTTGTGCTCTGACGTCCCCGAGCGCGGCGTTGCAGCTGGGCGCGGAGGGCCCGCGTAACCACCACGAGGCCACCCACCTGCATGATCCGCCAGCGTGTACACGGCCGCGCGCCGCCACATTGCCCTATCGAGCAGCCCATGTCGCGTTCCCTTGAGCGCGCGCCCTCGACCACCCAATGCCGTACCACCTCCGAGCGCATAGCATGGCCGCGCCTGCCCAGCCGGTGAGAAACCTCAGCGAGGCCGACACCAGCTCCAATGCCGTGTCCCATGGCTCCCCCCGCTCTCACCTGGCCTGCCCCAACACGGCCTTCGAGGCACATTTCACTACGGAGGTCAGTCTCGCGATGAGCAGGCCACGGTCACTAAGTACGGAAGCCGCGCCAGTCTAACCGCCACCTCGGACGATAGTCCAGCGGAGGCCGCGACCACATCGATAGGTAATTGAACTTGATGCATGCGTCTGCATGCCTGGGGGATTCCAGAGCGTTGCGCCTAACCCCTCAGGAGCCGTCAACCACTGCGGCACTTCACGGTCCAGTCGTTGCTCCGCACGCCGATGTGTGCCTCCCAGTCGGGCGAAGTGCAAATTAGAATCACCAGCGACCCGCAGGTCCCAGACACGGTACCGTGCCTGAGAGCGGAGCCGTCGCCCCTCCTCGACCCGCTCCCTCCAGAGATCACGACGCACAGCGACCTTGCACCCTGGCTGAAAGCCGTAGAGACCGAGGATGAAGGTCCCAGTCCCAGCCCGTCCACCACCCGGCATCGCCACCCACATCGCCCGGGCGTCCCCGTCCTCTTCTAGCACAGTAATGGCCGTCTCGGCCTCCCGCAAGATCAGGATGGCGACAGCGTCAGGTCAGGCATTCCGCTCCCCCTGAAAGGAGTACTCTGCCCAGCTCGGCCAGATCGCCCGGGGAGCCATGCGCGGCTCTGACATCACCGCCAGCACCACTCCCCGCACATGCAAGTCCACCACCAGCTCGTGGATACGGCCTTCATGGGCTCCTCCACCCGCCGTTACCCCCCTGGCCCCCTGCACGTTAAATGCGGCTACCGCCAGCGGCAATGAGGACACCCGCGGCGGCGCACGCGGAAGCTCATCAGCCGGCACCCTGCCCTCCCACACCCAGCGCACGGCATTCAGTGGGAACCCTTCGGCCAGCACCCCCTTTCTCATTTCCATTGAGCAGGGACCGACCGTCCAGGCATTTCTATAGGCCAACCACGAAATTATCTTAGAACGCAAAAATGTTCGAAGAACAAAGACAATGTTCTTAGAGCATAAGCCCGATGTGTTAAAACAAGACAGTCCAGGCCAGAACT